ATATATATGAATAAAGTTTAGGAGATAATATTCAAGATCTAGGACTAGGAAGGGTTCTTATATTAGACACCAAAAAGCATGATCCACAAAAGAACAAAAAGATAAATTAGGCCCATCAAAATAAAAAATGTTTGCTCTGTGAAAGACTTTGAGGATGAAAAGAGATATCTACAGACTGAAAGAAAATATTTACAAACCATAAATCCAACAAAGGACTGGTTTCTAGAATATATTTTTAAAAAACACTCAAAACTGAATAGAAAAATAAGGCAAAGAATCTAATTAGAAAATGGGCAAAATAAATAGGGCACAAAAAAAGACAGTCAACATCTTTAGACATCAGAGAAATACCAATCAAAACCACAATGAGATATCACTACCCTCTCATCAGAATGAAATCATAACATCAAATGCTTGTTATGATGCGTCGAAACTGGGTGATGTATACACTGCTGCTAGAAATCTAAAGTGGTTCAACCACTTTGAAAAACAGTTTGGCAGTTTCTTATAAAACTAAACATGCACTTATTGTAGAACCCAGCAATTGCACTCTTAGGCATTTATCTCAGAGAAACAAGAACCTGTGTTCACACACAAAGCTGCCCATAATGTGCATAGCAGCTTTATTCATTTGTAACTGCGCCTGATGGAGATAGCCCAGATGCTCTATACTAAGTGAATGGTTAAATAAAAGCTGGGTGTCTTGGAATACTACTCAGCAATAAAAGGGACTATGGATACACCACAACTTTAATGAATTTTGAGGGAATTATGCTGACTGGGGAAAAAAACAATCTCCAATGCTACATGCTGTATGATCCCATTTACATAACATTCTTGAATGGACAAAATTATTCAAATGGTGGACAGAATAGTGGTTGCCAGGGGCTAACAAAGGGGGAGGGGAGGAGGCAAGTAGGTGTGGCCATAAAAGGACCATAGACAGGATCCGGTAGTGATGGAAATGTTCTGTATCTTGACAGCATCAATATCAATATCCTTGTTGTAAAATTGTACTATCATTTTATAAGATGCTCCCATTAGGGGAAACTGTATAAAGAGTAAAACAGATCTCTATTATTTCTTACAACTACATGGGGTACTATAATTATCTCAAAATGAAAAGTATAATCGAAAAAAACAACAACAACAGTAGAAACATAAAAGGAAGGAAATAAGGGAGAGAGATTCCCATAAAAGAAATCTCTGCCCATGCACAATCAGCCACCTAAGAAAACCAGATTAGATTTCTCCCATCCACTGCTAGCCTAACTCCTTTCTTCCTCTCAGTCCCTTTGGGAAATAGAGACAATGTGGGGGTGCTGTTCTGTGTCTCCCAATCTCTCAAAAGCACCACTTCATACCTGTGTCCAAGGCCAAGTTTAGAGGTTGGGAAGCAAGGTCATTATGGAGGAACCTCAAAATTGCAGTGCACCACTCACAACCTCCCACACACAGCCCACATACCACACACACTTGTACACCACCACCACCCCCCCGCAAAGGCATATCTTGGAAGCCAGGACTCATCGTATAAAACTCAGAGACAATGCATTTTTTCCAGAAACACACACACACACACACACACACACACACACACACACACACACACGCAAACTAGTTCTTCACTGAACTAATGCCGAATTCTTATACCTTATATATCCTTTCTGGGACCATTGGAGTCAAGTACTGTCCCTATTCCACATGACTACGCTTCTATAGCAAATCAAAGCAGTCACAGCGAAGAACATATATTGTATGTTCCTCAGAAACAGTACTTACCGAGGTGACAGAAAACTCATACAGAATATAATTCTTTTTCGTTACAGCATCTGAAAGAGAAGGACAGAGGGTCCTCATCACATAGAAAGTAGAGGCGCTTCTCTCAGTAGGAATACCTTTGCCATCTGATTCTGCTTAGCCACTTTTTACCCATTGTTGTCAAATCTCCACAAAGGTTTCCTGGCCACTTCAACCCACAGTAACTGCTTCATCCTCCGAACTCCCATAGGCTCTATGAAATACTGTTTTGCTGGCATTTACAACATTTTGACTTGCGTTATAGGTACCCATATACACAATGTATCTATCCTGCTGCACCAGGTGTTCCTCAAGTGCAATGTCAATGTCTTATTCATCTTTATGTCCCCTGCATGCAATGCAATCATAAATAGCCAATAAATATTAACAAATGCTAATTCTGTGCAGGGCAGGATTTTTACATCATCACAGACCATAAGCTTGTGTGAGGTACTTATATGGAAATCCTACAGTGGAAAAAACACACTACACAGATAAAATACTCCCTTTAATAGTAACCAAAGAAGTATTTTGCAAATCTATGAGCAAAAAGTATAATTTGGTATTAATAATGATACCCAGAGGAAAGAATAATTAAACTAAATCCAATAATGTCTGTTGCTTTGGTAGAGTCAGTAACATACAACTTGCTCATCTGAAGTCTATTTTAATTGCATTGTGCTTGGCCAACCAAATCTCAGAATAAGTTGATTTTTAAGCTATAGAAATAAGCATCAGTGATAACAGAGCGAGCACTGTATTGGGCAGCTTGCAATGACTAATCTCACTGAGCACTGCAGTGGTGGTGCCATAAGGAAGTCTACCTGCAGATACACCATCATCCCAGTACAGCTCTCCCTTTGCTTCTCTCTTGTAGTCCAAGGCAATAATGAGTCCCAGGGAGTTCTTCCGACTACAAAAGAGCAAGTCTCAGTTTCAGAGAATGAAGAAGAGACAGAACTGTGTTAAATAAGCCCCCTTCATGCTTCACAGACAGATAATTTCAGAGTTTATCCTAGAAAGTGAGTAGATCATGACCTTGAATGGCAACACGGAAGCTGGGTGTGGGTAGACAACAGAGGTTAGTAGTGAATGAGCATGAGAAGAATAGTCAAAGGAGACGGTTCCTGGTGAAAACTGGGTTTGTGATAACATTAACAATTAGCACTAATCGGTGCTTATCATGTGCCAGGAATTCTCCTAAGTGTTTTATGTACATTAAATTTTTATATTATTTCATTCAAACCTTACAATAACTCTAAAAAGTCAATCTATCATCATCCCTGGTTTACAAATGATAAGCAGAAATATAGAGAATAAGTTGCCATAACAATACATCTGGTATGTCGTAGAATTGGGACTTGAACCCAAAATGTCTGGCTCTTGACCTTGAAGTTATTTTTTCTTTGATCTCCTATTTGACTTGCATTCTCTCATGCCTAAGTGAACCTCCTTGAGGACAATTTTTGACCATAAAGAAAACAATAACAACTAGTTCTTTACTTCATTATCTTATTCAATCATGAGTCAATGAGGTCATTGACTATTCTTATAATCTGATTCAATCCAGAAGTAAAAGACTGTGGAAATGTAAAGGAACAGAGGCTACATTTACCCCCTAAATGAAGACTAAGATGCCAATTTGGGGCCAACCTTGAAAGGAAGGGAGGAAGATCACTGACTAAAGATGTCTTCCTTGGGTATATCCACTTTTAGTCCCTCTATTAACCTTTCCCATAATGCTCTGCCCCTTGGAGCATGAGAGCAGTTACACCTTAGAAAAGTGAGGAGCTTACAGCTTACCTGGCCTCTGTGGTTGTGTTTGGCTGCTGGATGGGAAATATGCAGCCCCCTCGAAGGTGAAGTCCTATCCTATCAGGGGGCAGTAGCATCTCCACCAATTGTTTCCTCCATTGGATGGCTGTTCCCTACAACAAAAGAAAACAAATCAGATAATAGGCTGTTTAGGCTAGAAGGAATCGTGGAGATCTTCTACTTTTACTGTCTCATTTTAAATAAGAGAAAAACTGAGACCTCCCAAAAGGGAAGGTGACTTGTCCAAGGCATAAAGGTAGTAAGTACATAGAAAAACTGAGACTCCAACCCACCTTATTTCATTGTATTACACCATGCTATGATTCCACAAGCAGGCTTAGCCGCATAGTAGCCAGGTTGACATAATGAACATTCCCATCAACCTACCCCAGTTATTCAAATTATTTCATGGTATATTGGGAAAGGCCTTCCACATGGAAAAGTACCCACAATCAGCTAAATGTAAAGCCTCATACTATCATCCTACCCAAGCTCCCAACAATGCTGCTGCCTTAGAACTTCCTCTGCTAGAGGCGGTTCTCTGGGCCAAGAGGGCTACCTCACTTACTGTCTCATAGTCGTACCAGATGGCATCTGGTATGTATGCTTTCACCCGGTCCACACCCTAGGGAAACAACAACAATGAGCGACATTAGCATATCCTTTTGCAGTTTGCACAACAACTCCACGTGTGGCTGCATGTGCTCCTCTGAACAATCCTGAGAAATAGTTGGGATTCTGCCATTCTACCAATGAAAATACAGATACTCAGAGAGGTCGGGCAGTTCATCCAAAACAGATCCGTACCAGAATTTAAGTTTGTTTTGCTTGAGGTTCCTGAACTTTCTAAGAGAAGCAGAGGAAGTTCATTCATTGAGTTACTTGTGTAATCTGGCAGGTGGGAAATTTAAACAGTCAGGCACCCTAGAGAACCTTCCAGCAGCATCACTACAGCAGGACATGCCATGAGATGGTGTGGCTAAAACACCAGCTCCAAGGGCCTTTTATATGAGTACATTGGCGACCTTCCATGTTTACAAACTGGTCAACATAACCCTGATACCCCCTTTCTTTCCCTGTACTTCCCCAATCACTGCTGCCCCAAATCACACTGCATACGTGGACTCTACAGTAACAACCGCCCCTTGACCAGCATTCCTCTCTCCCTCCCTACTCCTCTCCCCACCTCTTCTCTCTTCCTAACCCCAATAGCACATCCTCTCCGGTCAAAGGGAAACAGGACAGATGGCCAGCCCCAGGCATTTGAAGTCCCTGTCAATGTCCATATACTTAAGGACACAGGCTTTGATGTAAGCTTACAAATGGAAATTGTTTTGCTTGGTGAGGCAGTGGGACCAAGAATTACTATTTTTCTAATTTCCAAATGTTCACAATCTCTCATTTTATTCATATTTATATTTAAATGCAGCCAAAGATATTCAGCCTCCAGCTTATTCAGCTATAGAGCCATGAGGACTAATGTTGATATCCCATCCCACTGCTTAGATTATAAACACACTTCATATAACACAGGCGTGATGAGGAGTCCAGGTCCCCATAAGAACTGCTCATGCACATCCCATGTAGCATTGTCCTGGTAGAACCTGGAAAACAGAGAAGGTAGGTGAAGCCTCCAACATAAGAGAGCAGCTCATTATATGAAAACAAGGTCCTAGCAAACCTTGTTACTACTAACAAGGGAAGTGAAATTATAATCTGAAAGGATGTCTTTGCGGGTAAGGAAACTCACTCATGGACCAGGGGCCTCGCTACAGTTTTCCCCAGGGTATGAGCTCGGTAGAAGAGGGTGTAGAGATAAGGCAGCAGGGTGTAGCGGATGTTCAGATAATGCCTGGAGGAACTCAAGAGCTGAGAGTCTTCACCAAAGGCAGCAGGGTCCTGGTCCTAGGAGGAAACATAAGTGATTACTAAATATTTCCATCATAGTTTAAAAGTCCTCTTTGAGCCGAAACCGGTTTGGCTCAGTGGATAGAGCATCGGCCTGCGGACTGAAGGGTCCCAGGTTCAATTCCGGTCAAGGGCATGTACCTGGGTTGCGGGCACATCCCCGGT